AAGGGGTGGCCGACTCCGGGAGACTTGAAGCTGATTCGGCTCCGTGGGTCCCGGCACGATCTGCTGTGTAGCTAGAGAGTTTTGTTTTGTTGTTGTTGTTGTTTTTTGCCAAGAATGACAACCCTGCAATGTAAGTCAGGCCGGGTGTTCATCCCTGTCCCAAGTCCACCATGTAAGGCTTTGGGGGCCCCAGAAACACCTTTCCTCCTCCTCGTGGTCTAAACTCAACCACAACGTTACCTGGGCAAAACCTGCTAACAAGACTGAATTCCTGCCCCAGGCTTTGGTTCCTGAAGGAGAGTCTTCATCTGTTATTCTCTCCTCTTGCGCCTTGGGTTCCATCCTGATCAGCAAGGGTGCTTGAGAAAACCTTCTCTGGGTCCCTTGCCATTCCCCCCCACACACACACACCCCACCTCCCCCTCCCCAAGCTTCAGCTCAAAGAACCATGTGAGTTCACGGCGCATTCATGGCTCACAAAGGAGTTATTAGCGCCAGGCTGTGTGGGTTTGAGTTGCACGGAGTTTCCCACACTCGTCCCCTCCTCGGCCGGACAATAGACGTGTGCCTCGTGCCGACGGGCGGCATTAGTGATGGTGTTTTGAGCCTCAATGCCTCGCGGAGGGAGGGGAGGGGAAAAAAATGTCCAACTCCCAAAAGACCATCTGGTTAATCGTTACAAGCCGGCCAAGGAGGGTCAGCAGCCGCCACTCCGGAGGTGGGAGGGACACACCCTTTGACTCGGCTACAGCCCCTTTAACCAGCTTCAAAAATGAGATACCTGTCAATCTCTAGATCCACCATCTAACAAGGATGAGACTCTCTGGGGCCTTTCAAGAGCACCGGATCCGGTGCTAAGAACCGGGGCAGTATAGCCTAGCAGTTCTCAACATTTGGCCCTCCTCTAGCTGTTTTGCAGTTTGACACCCAGAAGCCTTTGGCTCAAATACATTTCCCCAATGTGGTTGATGTCGTCGCTCTAGCTGTTTTGCAGTTTGACACCCAGATACCTTTGGCTCAAATATATTTCCCCAATGTGGTTGATGTCGTCGTCGTCATCATCATCATCATCCCCTCCATGGACGCAGGACTTGTTGAGGTGGAGTCAATGTTTTTATAAATTCGATTGACTGGCCTGGTGTTTTTGAAGAAGAAACCTTAGAACTGTGGAGCTATAAGGGGTCCTATAGACCAGTCGTTGCCCAACATTGGGCCTCCAGATGTTCTTGGACTTCAACTCCCAGAAATCCTGGCCAGCAGAGGTGGTGGTGAAGGCTTCTGGGAGTTGTAGTCCAAGAACATCTGGAGGCCCAAGGTTGGGGACCACTACTATAGACCATCAAGTCCAGACCTGTCAAGAAAGCCCAGTGAAGAAAGGTTGAAAATTTTCCCATCTTAGAAAACCTTAAGATGGTCCACGAAGGTCCTGAAAAGGTGTAACAGGGTTGATTTCAATAAAAAGAAATCCAGTGCCATACATTTAACTGGAAAGAATGACTCGCTCAAGGTAGTATGGCTATATCTGGCTTGACAATCATACATGGTCAAAGGGCTAGGCTTCTTCAGTTTTCTTGGACTACAAATCCCATATTTCTCCATTCTTGGAACCCTATCTGTCAGATCAATACCTAAATGTGGCTCACCTGGGAGGTAGGCCTCAACAGGAAGGCTTTGAGACTGAGCTAGGCCTAACTCAGGCTCACGGCCTTCTAGTTCCGGCCTTTCTCCCAGGTGAGCCACACTTAGGTGTCCATTAGACAGAAATTTCAGAATGGAGAATTATGGGATTTGTGTTGCAATGAATCCAAAGATTCCATCTCTACATGTAAATAGAATCTTAGCCCGGTGTTCCTCCAGATGTCATATGACAACAGCTCCTCTGAGTCCCAGCCAGCATAGCTAAGGGTCCGGGATTCTGGGAGTTGAAGTTACAAATATCTGGAGGCCTAAATGGTGGGAATCACTAGTAGAGTCACCATCAATCCATCAGAATCAACTTGGATTAATTTCTGTTGGAAAAAAGAAACAGAAAGCAGTCTTCAGCTCTAACTGGGCAGTGGTTAGAGCCGATAAATTCAACAAGACCTCCCTTCTGCAAATGTTCATCATTTGGAGTGAAGCAGCAAATATTATGTATCTCTGAAGAACAATAAGCGAGTGGAATTACGGTGCAGTGTTTACTAGGGGTCGAAGTTAAGGTTTAAGAAGATTTTACCAATGTTTGAATGAGGATTAGAGAGATGGCAATATGAATTTCTTAGATTTGAGGAGGTGTCACTTCAAATGCAACTTTTTTTAAGTATCTCTGTCTGCCTGCCTGCCCCCCTTCTCTCCCCTCATTTCCTAGTGAATTTTATTGCAACGTGGGAGGAAGGAGCATTCCAAAAGCTCTTATGGGATTGCAAGATGTCTTGGAGGCCCATAGTTTTCTGTGAAGCAAAGAAGAGGACAGAGTAATTGGAGGGATTTCTCTGGAATTATCCTTAAAGACTATTTCCTCATCTGGGGGTGCGGCGGGGGGGAGAAGAGAAGAACAAAATTGATTTCTATTCTATAAGAGACCATTGTCAAAAAGAGGGGAGGGGGAAAGTGCAGGAAACAGCCACATCTAGCCCCATAGTATTCATTGTCAAAGTCTGAATGGATGCATGCCTTTGTCCAGGACAGATGTTGGTCACAGAAACCTTTATTCCCCTTCCTTATTATTTGGTGGGAAAGCTGAGAGTTGAGTCATCTCAGGACGACTCCGAGCCATCCAGAGAGATTTTATTAAAAAACACACAAGAACAGCGAAACTAAGCAAAGAGGGTGGCATCATCCACTCGCAATAATTGTCCTTTTGCCCATGATTCATTCGAAGGAAAGACCTATTCAAACGGGGGTAATGGCCACCTGTATCCACTGGCTACACAGATAACACACCGTTTGTATGTGCATTTTTAAAGCTTTTAGTAAACAGCCCATCTGAGGACAGATTACAGCAAGAACCTAAGCGGTCCCTTTAAAAGATCATATCCAGGATTTGTTTAGCAGTGTTGTCTAGTCTACTCCCACTCATATAAATATTGGGAGCCCCCCCGGTCATCCACCAGAACTGAATGGCGGGAGTTTCAGAATAAATAAAACTTTTTTTTTCACGTGGCACAGATCTGAAGTTTGGAATTCCCAACCACAGGATGTGGTGATGGCTGCTGACTTTGGACAGCCTTTACAGGCTATCAGATAAATTTGAAGAGATGCATTGACACCTTAACTTCCAACCCTAGTAAACACTGTACAAACAGGGCCATCAATAGCTACTAACCATTCATTCATTTTTTTATCCTCGTAGAATAAATAGTTTTATATTAATTCCATTTAGGGTGCATGCAACTTCATCGCATTGTGCATGAGCCATGTGGACCTCGAAATCACAGAAGGGAGTCTTTAATCAGCAGCTATCTGTTGTGGCTAGTGGCATCATGTGGCTAGTGGCATCCTTCAGTCTTTAGAGACTATGGTCAAGTGCTCTGTATGGAGGTCTTGGAACAGTGCCTTGTGTGGCTGAGGAGGCTGATTCGAGAGTGACAATCCCTCCCACACTGAAGACAAATACAATCTGCCCCCTGCCCAGCTCCCTGATTTGGCTGATTTCGGGACTTCCTCTTTGCCTCGGCCTGCTGGACAAGGGTCTCTTCAAATTGGGAGAGGCCGTGAGGCACCGCCTGCCTCCAGGCTGAATGCTCAGATGTCAGGGTTTCCCATCTGTTGAGGTCCATTCCTAAGGCCTTCAGATCCCGCTTGCAGATATCCTTGTATCAAAGCTGTGGTCTCCAGCTGGGGTGATTTTCCTGCACTCATTCTCAATACCGGAGATCTTTTGGAATCCAACCGTCAGCCATTCTCTGTATCCTGTCTATCTTTGTGGCGCCTGGGGCTTTAGGGGGACAAAATCACACATTTGGTTATGTCTTGAAGTCCTAGGGAAAAGTTTTAGTTGCTTCCTTTTTTGGCTTTCAGGATTGCAGTATGCTAAAGTGGTACAGAACCCAATCAACCAATCAATCAATCAATAGTTTGCATTTCAACAACCAACCAATCAATCAATCAATCAATAGTTTGCATTTCAGTGTTATTATTATGACTCTATATATTATCAATAAATAAAAGGGACAATTTGGCTTATAGACGTACAGTCCTACATTTTAAAAATATAGAGAGGTGTGTGTGTGTGTGTGTGTGTGATTGATTTCTTAAGCCTAAATCCAATTATTTCTTCCAACTAGAGTAAACCTGCTGAATCATGGGATCTTGGTAAGTCAACGGATCAACCGATCATTTCAATTCTGCCCACTTGCCCACCATTTCAGCTTTTTGTGAGTTCTTCAATGATGACGGCCCGGGTGATTTTTTTTTTGTAGGTGTGTGGTTTATTTTTTTAAATATATATTGTTAAATATATATTGTTTGTTATTTATTTTCCATTTACATTGCTTTGCAAGGAAACCGCCGAGAAGAGTGACCAGCCCTAATCAGCGCCATATATGAGTGCAATCAACCAACCAAGCACACTTTATGTCAGTGCCGTTTATTGCCTGGGTCTACCTGAGAGGAAGCACCATACCTAGCCTTGAATCACTTCCGTCCCTCCTTCCTCTCTTTCACTCTCGTTGGCCATGAGGAGCGTGGAGCATTGACTCTGGAGTGCACCTGCCCTCAGACGATCCCCGTCGGACGGCTCGCATCTTTCCCCCCCAACCTCCCTGCCCCACCGGCATGTGGCTTTGCCTCCCTCCACCAGTTGGTTGGGGCAGAAGGTCATCCTCTGTGGGGCCATTGAGGGTCAATGTAGCATGCTCTGAAGAGAGGTGGCTCCCCCTATTATCTGGCCGCGCGCCCGGATTGGCTGAGCAACTGTGGGAATTGGCGAGGGCTAAAACTCACATCACGGTGGAGCTGGAGGCGGATATAAATAGAAGGCACGCTCTCTCGGAGAGAGCCGCGGAGCATAAGGTGGCGTCTGGGTGAGGAGCAACAGCTGATCATCTGTAGGACACATGGCTCCTAGCAACAGCTGCCTTGTCCACAGGAAGGAGGAGAGGTTGCCAGCAAAAGATAAAAACAAGGTAATTAAGAGCTTAGCCCCACTGGAAAACCTGCTACCGAGTCTGACCACGTGTCTACCTAACCAACTCTGGCTGGTTTAGGTTTCTGGCTGCGATGCCAGAGGGTGGGAGTTCGATTCCCCCACTGGGCCTCCTTGATAGGGGCTAGACTGGATGATCTGTAGGGCCCCTTCCAGCTCTGTAGTTCTAAGATGATGATGGCATCAGCAGAATGGGTGCTTTCTTAACCCCTGCCTGGGGACTGGACTTAGAAGCCTCTGCCTGGAAGGTGTGGGCTCTACCAGTGAACGGTTTCTTTTTGCTGAAAAATAAACCCAAGTTTCTAGTCCTCGTTGCCCTAAACCAAGCAATAAAACAGGCAGTGATGGAACTTGCTCTGTCTAGACTGGGACTGAAAACGCTGACAGGTAGCAATACCGCTACAGAATTTCAGAAGTTTTTGCTGAAAAATAAACCCAAGTTTCTAGTCCTCGTTGCCCTAAACCAAGCAATAAAACAGGCAGTGATGGAACAGATAGCTACAGAATTTCAGAAGGGGTGTGTTGTTGTTGTTGTTTTTAAGATCTGCCTGGAGACCCTTGGTATTGTATCTGGAAGCTTCTCAATCCAGGATTCACTTAGTTTCTGGAATGAGACCCCCTCATTGTTTTCCTACAACGGGTGCAGGGGTGTGCATGTCCCTTAGAATGGCATTAGGTTTCAGACGTGGGAGGGGGTGGTCCAAAGTCCACTGTTGAGATCGGTGCTGTCCTGAGGCCATAAGATGAGAGGCGATGGTGGGTAGAATGTATTTGTGCACCCAGGGCTCCACGGGGGGGGGACTCCAAGTTCGAATGCACGCATCCACATCTGCAAAGGTTTGAAAGCCTCCCCTTTTCTTTCCCCTTGGCAGCTAAGGAAGCCGGTGGTGGAGAAAATGCGCCGGGACCGCATCAACAGCAGCATTGAGCAGCTCAAGGTCTTACTGGAGAGGGAGTTCCAGCGCCACCAGCCAAACTCCAAGCTGGAAAAGGCAGATATTTTAGAAGTGGCTGTCAGTTATCTGAAGCAGCAGCGCCAGATGGAGGGCTACGGTGAGTGCCGAAGGGGTTTGCCAACCTAAGCTTAAATGTGGCTTGCTTTTCTTTCTTTCTTTCTTTCTTTCTTTCTTTCTTTCTTTCTTTCTTTCTTTCTTTCTTTCTTTCTTTCTTTCTTTCTTTGGAGAGGGGACTGCAATGCCCAGCGTTCCCCTAGTTTGTGTGGCCCCCTAGAAATGATGAGAGTTGTAGTCCACCACATTTTTGTAGGTAAACCTGAAGAGGCAGGCTTAAATGGGGCAAGCAGCTGAAGTGATATGAATATGGAAAGGTGGTGGAAATCTCTAGCTGCAGTGCGAGAGGCTGGGAGTTCGATTCCCCGCTGGGCTTCCTGGACAGGAGATGGTGATGATGATATTTTAGAAGGGGTGGTCAGTTATTTGAAGCAGCAACAGGGTTTCCCACAAATCAAGGTCTAAGGCCCTGTGTGTACAAATTATTTGGGTTCAGTGCACACCTTGAAATCTGGGACCACATTCCCAGATCGTGTGGCTATATTTTTTTGGGGAAGGAAAGGCCAGCTGACTTGCAGCCAGCTGCTTAGCAATACACGTGTGTCAAATAGTTCCTTGACATGGTTAGATCGGCATTAAAGAGCTCCATTATAGCCGCGAAGCGTGACCGCTTCTCCCCCTGTCTCCGTGGCCTGTTTCATGAGGTTATGTTCATGCAATCGGAGGTGGGAGATCGG